GGGGAAGGTCACCAATCCTGTGCTTTGCACGTGTGAATGGGAGGTGAGATAGGGGCATACAACAAGCATCTGAGAATTAATCCCAACTTACCCTCTTCGGGGAAAAAAAAAGTCACCAATCCGGTGCTTTGCACTTGTGAATGGGAGGTGAGATTCACCTCTACACTGTGTTCCATCTGGTCATCCGGTAAGACTAAAGGTATTGAATAATCATAAAAAATAAGAATGGTTTGACTATATGATTCCTGGTGTTTCTGAATTTAATGTGCTTCTGCTACTTTTGGATAATCTGAAGTTTTGAAGGGTAAATGGGTGGTGAACGGCCCCCATAAATGTGCTAATCTCAATGGGAGATTGCCATTTTAATTCCAACTAACAGATATCCAGAGTTCGATAGGCACATTTACTTCTCAAAATTTTGAAGCATCTACTCAGAAAGTTATCCTCATGATTGTACAATTCAATTCATAATTTATTGCTGCCCCTTCATTTATTTTCTTGCTCGCTTTTGGATCTCTCCCTCCCTCCCTCTCTCTCTCTCTCTCACACACACACACATACACACACACATACACACACACACACACACAAACACACACACACACGCACACACATATGCGTGTGCACGAGCACACACACAGATTGAGTTTATAGCAGTATGGAATCGTAAAAATGTGTCTGGAAACTTCTTTTGTAAATTTTGTAGGTGCACTCAAAAGAGCAAATGTCGACCCAGCACATGTGCAGGAGGTGTTTTTTGGGAATGTTCTAAGTGCAAATTTGGGACAGGCTCCTGCTAGACAGGCTGCATTGGGTGCTGGAATACCAAATTCAGTGATCTGCACCACCATTAATAAAGTTTGCGCATCTGGAATGAAAGGTATGAAATGTTCCAGACTAAGATTTGTTTGGTCATCTTGAGGGAATTATTATGCCTTGGTTTGTGCTTCTTTGGATGACTTTTAGTAGCATTTCTCCTATGACTGAAGTTAGCTTTCATACAAATTATTTGATGAGCTGTTCTTTTCTTCACAGCTACAATGCTTGCAGCTCAGAGTATTCAGTTAGGAGTTAATGATGTTGTTGTGGCTGGAGGCATGGAAAGCATGTCAAATGCGCCTTTCTATCTGCCTGAGTTAAGGTTGTAGTTTCTGGCTTCTCTTTTTTCAAATTCTACATCAAGACGTGGATTATTGTATTTCAACTCTCTGTCGAGGGCTTTTGCAAACTAAATTTGACTCGATTCACTAACTGAGTCTCTGAATTTTAGATTAGTTGGATGCATTTCGGTTTGTAGTCAGTTAAGTTTTATGCTGTAATGGCTTAAGTACAAAGTAATTGGTATGAGTAATTGATTAATTGTGATCTTCTCATGCTTGCTGCTTGAGTCGAAAGTGCATATTTTCTGGAATGACTAAAAAAAGTTTGGCTGTATTGGCCTGGACCCTGTCCTGCATTAATATTACAAATGATGAAGAAGATACTGAAACTCCATATGATACCATCGTTGGTAAAGTTCTAAAAACAAAAATTCCATAGGAAGGCATATGATGCTACCAAAAATGGAGAGGGGATGGGTTTCAAAGGAAAGAATAAGAGAGGGATCGTGTGATACTGTTTAAGTATCACTTCTATAATTGCATGCAATTACATACTTGGATATCTGATTTTCCACCAGGTTTGGTGGCTCCACTAATAATGGCATTTCCTTGTTGATATGTACAAGAAAATTGTTACCTTTATTCACGCAGGTCCCCTGGAATCTGGATAAGTTGAAAAGCTAATGTTAAGGCAACATTTAACTAAGGGAAAAGTTTATATAAGGTTGCAACCTTAAAATGTAGAATTACAGATGCACCTCAAAAATCTATCGGAAAGGTTGTTTTAATGTTGAAAAACCCTCTATTTGATCATCTCGACATCGAGATGTATGAATATAAAAAAAAAAAAAAAGGTTTTTGAGTCTCAGAAATAGTGCATCTTGCAACACATTATGTAGGCCGTCCATTTTCAAGATTTTCATATGTTTATAGATCTCCTTGATTTTAACTATTTTGGAGTTTAAAATTTTCTAATTAGATATGAAAATAGAGTTTAAGATAATCCTAAGAATTTTTTATAACAAAATTACATGTTATGATAAACTTTGGAGGTGCGCCTTAATTGGATTGTTTAAGATTGCACCCTTATAGAAACCGCACGCTTTAACTAATTCAACCATAACAAAAATATGCAAATAAAATTTCAAGCATGATATATAATATATATATAAATCTAGTTTGAATCATTGTTTGGGAACCTTGCTTTCTTGTAAATAATATATATTAAAGAAAAAAGTCTTGTAATGACCTGTTTTCACTATGTAATCAGGAAAGGGAATCGTCTGGGACATGGAACTGTTGTTGACGGGATGCTCACAGATGGACTTTGGGATGTTTACAACAATTTTGGAATGGGAATGTGTGCAGAGTTATGTGCTGATCAGCACTCAATAACCCGAGAAGAGCAGGTTTGTTATATTGCCATAGCGTGCTTTTCTTGGCCTATATCCAGTGCCATAATCAATTGTTTCTACAGCACTGTTGTGTTCCCCTTTTTTATCTCTGTTTGTGTTACAAAGTTGTCATTGTGGAGCTTACATGCAAAAACTTTGTCATCGATTGGCCTTTTCTTTTCTTTTTTTAAGTCTGATACTGCTTCCTAAACTATGTTCTAGTTTCATAAATTTAATGTGCTACGCCTGTAGGGATGGCACCATAACCATTTTCCCTCCATGCATTGTATAAATCCATTTTTGCTTATTGTGTTCTTTCTTTCTTTTACTTTTTTCCTTTTAAAACCTCCCTTAAGATAGGGATGTGTCTATGAGTGATTACAGATTCTAGTAGTATTGCAAACAGCTTCAGTCTTGGTAATGAAATAGTGAAAAGTTGTCCTCGAAGTTTCTTGTTCTTTGGTATGATTTACCAAGAATGACCATCATATGAACTTGCAAATTCTACGTGTTGGTTCATTTAGATCTTTCCTGATTTAACCACACCTCTGCAATTCTTGCAGGACTCTTTTGCCATTAAAAGTTTTGAACGGGGTATTGCTGCTCAAAATGAAGGAGCTTTTGCCTGGGAAATAGTGCCAGTAAGGGTCTCACGTATTCATTCATTGCTAATAGATAATGATGAATTTGAGCTGGGGTTCAGTCACTGCTGGTTATATTATGTCATCTAGGTTGAAGTATCTGGTGGTCGTGGTAAGCTAAATACTGTCATTGACAAAGATGATGGGCTAGAAAAGGTAAAGTCATACACATAGATCATTGACTTTTCAATGTTATACATCCTTGCGATCAGAAACCCAACTGAAACTTGGAAAAGTTGTTTCTTTTATTTAATTGTAGTAGCAAAGAGTGTGCATTTATGATTAATATGGACATTACTGTAAACATTCTTTTTAAATAGTTGTTATGTTTTGAGTTCATTATTTAACCAGTTTGTCCTGATTCTACGCCTCTATAGTTTGATCCTGTAAAACTGAGGAAACTCAGGCCAGCATTTAAGGAGGGAGGCTCAGTTACAGCTGGCAATGCTTCTACCATCAGGTTTACTTCTTCTCTATCATAAAAGATATCGTCAGTTTAGTTTCTACCAAGGTTTAAAAAAATGGATTGGTGACTCGAATCGGTCACACCCATACCCCGTGTCAGATCGGGGAATCGGTGAATCGGATCAGAGAATCGGCAGAATGGGCAATTTTTTGTCCCAAGAAATCTTTAAAAAATCACTATAAATCTTTAAAAATAGTGTTCTTTTAGTTTCTAAAAGAAATTAGGAGTGGTGCATTATGTACTTTCATTACTTTATAAAAAGAGGTGAATACTGAGATGTTGTTTTCCCATCTGGATGTCTGCATAGTTATTAATTATAATAATATAATATTATAATATTGCATCAAAATAATTAAAAAATAAGATTAAAAAAATAATTTCCTATATAAAATGAAATTAGTATCACATCAAAGTATCAAACATTTATTTTGGGACAAAGATTTCCATAGAAATCGAAATTAGTATCACATGAAGTTTAGTATGAATTTCATCAATTTCCTGCAATACCAATCAGGACCCCCAAATATACTGTTTTTTCAGTAACATAGCTTTGCCGTTAAATAGATCCATCAGCCACAGTTAAAAAAATAAAAATAAATAAATAAATAAAAGATAAGCCCTATTTCTAGTGAGAGAAAACTAGTTCTAGAGAGAGAGGTCTTCTTTGACGTGATGATCTATAGTTTACCAGTCAGCAGATGTGGGTGTTGCTTTTCACATTGATGAGAAATTTTCCAGCAAAGAAATGTCACCTATGCATTCTTAAAACCTCACCTATCTTCCATGACATGGCAAACAAACGAAAACAGTTAAGAGAGAAAACGATAAGGAAGCATCGAAACTACAGAGAGAACCAGTAAAGGAAGAGGCTTGGAACATATTTAGAATTTTTAATAAGGAGGAGGGCAAATTAATAGTTTGCTGCTCTGAAAGAATCCACGTGTATCTGGGAAGGCCAAAGTCAAAATTAAGAGGCCTAATATCATAGTGACAGATGCCACAAGACGAGAGAGGGAGAGAAGGCGAGAGAGAGCGAGACATCAGTCCACATGGAAGAGTACATGAGGCTTTTGCCTCAATAAAACCCTCCCCTGTAGCTACTCTTGTGCAAGCTCAATAGCACGTGGACGGCATGTGTTAAATCAATTGGGCCACGTGATTTTAGTGGTGGAAAACACAGGCATTGGGTTGCCCTTAGTTTTGAAAAAAATTTCACAAGTACCCTTGCAAAAAAAAATTATTGTCGATTGCAGCTGATTTTTCATGTGACTTGCCGGCTCGTGATGTCATACTGCCATGCCATGATGTCAGCACACCGAATCCATACAGGAAAAATGGTGAATCCCATTTTATGACTGGATTCGGAACGGTCTAGCTGATACCCAATCCGGATCGCCCGATTCCGGATCACCTGATTTCGGATTGGGTCAGTGATTTTTTAAACACTGGTTTCTACTATGTTTTTTTTTCAATTTGAATTCTGATCAGTCCATATATTCAGCGATGGCGCGGCTGCAATGGTGCTTGTTAGTGGAGAGAAAGCCCTTAATTTAGGGTTGCATGTGATTGCGAAGATTACAGGGTATGCTGATGCAGCTCAGGTGATTTTCTCCTTATTCATTTCTAACTTTCTTCTTTATGAGAACGTACTATTAATCTTATTAACTAGACCATGGAAACCATGCTTTGCTAGAGTCATCACCATAGGATGGTGATGGAGAGAGACATATCATAGGACATGACCTCAATATTGGTTCCAATTCTCTCTTCATTGCTTTTCATCATCTCACTGGATGATTAATGACCCCTTTGGACTAGAGTGTTTTTGTAGACTGTTGGTTTATAGCATACATCTTTTTTCTTTCCTTTGGGGTTCATTCCTCATGTTTGGATGCGATTGGTACTGTAGGCACCTGAGTTGTTCACGACAGCGCCAGCCCTTGCCATACCAAAAGCTGTTTCAAATGCCCATTTGGAAGCTTCACAAATTGATTACTATGAAATAAATGAAGCTTTTTCTGTAAGTGCCAATAGTGGGTTTTGAAGATAATATTCAGATAATGAGTTCATGTAGAGTATGATTTTTAACTTGTTTGATTTACTGAATTTGTGGCTGGCAGGTTGTAGCTCTTGCCAATCAGAAGTTGCTTACTCTTAACCCTGTAAGTGTGACTACTTTTAACAACATAGTTTTACTAAACGTTACTAAGCTAGTCTTTACTAAACTTTTACTTACCTGACTAGCTTAATTCTCTGAACTGAATCCTGTATATGCTTATCCCCTCCTGAGTTTATAGGGGCCTCTTTATGTGAGGTCAAACACAATTTTTTCCTTTGTCACTGCTTTAATGCTTTACTACAGTACCATCTGCCATATTGAAGTTCGCAGAACCCAAATTCACTCCACTCTCTTCAATATTGTCCAATTTTAGTGCACCAAGTTTATATTAACCCTAAGGATTATATCCCCTAACTGGAAATCAAATAGTCACGAGTTCATCTCAAACTTTATTCTCTGGCATATTCCCCTTAAACCTGAGTACTACTGTTATCAGGTGGAAATTGCACCCTCGTATAGCTTACATGCCCAAAATGTTTATATGTTGCTCAAATGTGTGTATTTCGTTCTTGTTTCTTTTCTTATTCTTTCAGTGATTGTTGGTAATGCTTTTCTGAACCTAATCCTACAAACTTTGTCTTTTGTATGACTGGAAGTTATTGTTCTTTTTCACAGGATAAGGTCAATGTGCATGGAGGAGCTGTATCATTAGGCCATCCACTGGGTTGCAGTGGTGCTCGTATTATAGTCTCTTTGTTAGGGGTATGTCTCTTTGTTTTGATAATGGCATCTGGGGGTGGGGGGGCAGAAACACAATTCTCTGGGATTGCTGTTCTCTTAATTCTCTGGGGATTGCTGTTTTCTCCAATTTTTCACTATTTACGCCCATGTTTTTGCAATTCTAACCCATAACACATGTGGGAATATAAATAGTTGTCTGGTTAGAATTTCCTCCCATGTCTTTAGGATGGGACTAGCAGAAACATGGACACACCCTTATTCTTCAAATTTTCCTAGAAAGTTGTGCAAAATGAACCCAGTTCCATGTAAAATCTAAGGTCATTCTAGCAGGACTATTTTGTTATTTTGCTTTTTACCTCATTTTTTCTTGTTTCTTTTATATTTCTGATACTTGCAGGTTCTGAAGCAAAGGAGTGGAAAATATGGAGTTGCAGCTGTTTGCAATGGGGGTGGTGGAGCATCGGCTCTCGTTCTAGAGTTCATGTAAGCCTTTTTTAATTGGGTAAGGCTCGCTGGCTTGACATATTTTGCCAATACTATTTGTTGATTTTGTTTAATGTTCAATAAAACTTAGAACGCAAAAATAAAAATATATAGTAAAAAGTCAGTTTTAGGGTATAGAGTTTCATTGTCTTTCTGGGGAATGTCTGAGATTTTGTTACAAGACTTAGCAAATGGCATAGATATTTCCCTATATTTTTAATATCTTCACCTATTGACTTTCTGAAATGAAATTTCTGAATTCTGCGGGATCTTTCGTTTAAAGTCCATCATTGTAAAGCATATAGAGTTGCATTATTATGTAGAAATAAAAGTTGTGCAATATTATGAATAACTGAAAGTCGTGTCATAATCTGGTTATTGAAGAGAAATTAAAAATATTCCTTTTCTACTCTTAAGATAAAATTACTGATTAACATTTTCTCTTGATATTTTTATTAACTTTTTGGCAAATTGACAACAATATAAAATAACATTTCCTGTTTTAGTTTTGCAAATGCATGCTTTATTTGTAGTGATGGTGATGTTTTCCAGACTCTTGAATGTAATATGACCCAACCATCAATTGCATTTACAAATGTATTTAATGTTTTCCAGACTCTGGCAATACTAACATGAGTCCTATCGATTTAATGCCTCATTAGTGCTCAAGTGAGGTTTTCATTTTCTAAGGAGATGCATTGACACTAGTGATAATAAAGAATGAGGCTTATATCACCAGCCACTGTTACTTGTTTTACCACACAAAGTATCTCTTAATAGCACCTAAGACATTAAGTAATTGTTAAGCGTCTGGCATCAATTGATTTTTGATACTAGAAAAAGGGAAAGCGAGCACTGTGATCCATATGACAACATGGGAGTGATGGAGAGACACTGTCAAACATAACAAATCAAAGTTGGTGATGCAGGGAGAAAAATTAATTTTTGTCTGCATCACATTCTCTCTCCATTAAAGTCCGACATTGATTGGATGGTGATGATCCTTATGATCACATATTTCATGCACTCATATGGATTGTAGTATACCTTCCCATATAAGTATGGGTCAAGTTGATGAAATTTTTGAAAACTTCACAAAGTTCTCCCATTTCTTGAGATAGAAAAAGTTAGAGCTCAAACTATATTTGGCCAAGGTTTTGGTGGATTTCGACAATTCAATTAAATTTGATGACCAGTTTTATAAACAGCCATTGAAAATGCAAACTTCGAGTAATGAAATTGTTCGTTTCACGGTCTAGAAATATTGCCCCAATGAGTGTGGATTCCTCACATCTTTTGGCTGGAAATTTTTATAAATTTTGTATAAACTGCTCTAAGGGACAATATCACATACTTGTCATGAAATTCACCTCGTATTAATTAATTTGCTGAAAAACTTTGAACTATTGTTTCCTTCTATTGAAATCTGGGATAAGGTTGCCGAAAAAACGACCCATGGTCTTTCTGAATTTTGAGAGCTGAAGTCTTGGATAATTTCTTGGAAAAAGTGCATAATTTTCTCGAATTATTTCGGCGTGATTTTCTTTAACCGGACTTTTTCCTCTTTGTTCTGTGTATATGCAGGCATGGCATCAACTTGGAACGGTCCTTTCTTTGAGACTATGTTTCTTCATTCGTTTGTTTTCTGTTTAGTGTTGACCTAAAAAGCTTTATCTGTAATGCTCCGTAGTATCTTTTCATTGCTAGTTTTGGGGATCTACGAGATACTTTTAAATTGAACTTGCTTAATGTAATTAGGATCTTTCAACCCATTTATGTAGTGAGTTCTTGTTATGAAATAAAAGCTCTGGTGGTTGTCTGAAATCCAGTGATTGTTGCCTAGGGCCTTGCACCTTGTTATTATGGTGAGCTGGTTGAGAGGTTTTGCTGCTGTTTCGCTTTCATAAAACAGGGCTTTAAAGGAGATTGTGAAAATTTCTTGTAGGTGATGGACCTTTCTTTTGTTAAAGTGTAAAGGAAAGCTACTTTTAATCAGTAAGATATTGATGATTATGATGATATTTTACTTTGGAGGCTTTTGTGTCATAGGTTAAGTAGCGAGACGGCCGATTCAATGCTAGTCTGTGTATTTGTCACAGAGAGAGAGAGAGAGAGAGAGAGAGAGAGAGAGAATTATATTGGACTTCGGGAAGACTTTATAAGAAATATTGGTCCTGCAGGCCCCATTACACATTGGCACAAGGTCTGAATGTACATGTATTTCTAGGACCCATTTTTTAATTATGGAGACCACATTTAACAATTATTTTTCTAAGACCTATTGACAATCTGTTGCTCATAATCTTGGTGATTTCCTCATGGACTCGGTGGTTTCACATCATTAAAAGTAAAGAGAAAAGCAATTGCTTACTTTTCTTCGTGGCATAAAAAAAAAACGAACTTTTCACTTGCCCAACTTTTTTTCTCATGGATGCAAATGCCCATTATCATGTTATAGTGCGAATCTTTCTAGAGCAGAGTAAAAGAAAAAGGTTTTTGAAGATCATAGTGTACATGTACTCCCTCGACCCAAATACTTACTTGGGAGGATCATTTCAAACTACAATTTTGGGAATCACCTATCACTTGATGATTATTTTTAAAGAGAGAAAAAAAAAATTGATATTTGAGTTCTCAGAATTCTTACTCGTCCCATAACCTTGAGCATTGTACCAGTGCTTGAGGCGCCTTCAGGCCTACTTCATTGCTACCCTGTAAAAATACCAGGGCCTTTACTTAATCTTGGGAGATTATCTTTTTCAAGTGAATATAGGGGAAATTAAGAAATTCTTTTATTGAGGTTATTTATGGGTTGAAACGGTAACCGGGATTCCAAACTTGATCCCAAGGTTTTACCTGATGAAATAGATAGACAGTATACTCCCGCAGGAGTACTAATTGAATTAATTAAAGCTTTTTGCTCGTGGTGATAATTGATAGCGTACGAGGTGCTCTTAGAGAGGGAGAGAGAAAGAGAGGCGCTGCGCAATGACTAACCAAGAAGAGAGCAGAGGGACATGTCTTTTCCATCAAAGGTAGTATATGTTCTCCTACTTGGTATATGTTCTCCTATTTATTTTCTTTTTATTCTAGCAAGGAAAACAACCGCTAATATTTTTCTATTTTTAAAAATTATAAAATATCTTCTTCTTTTTTTCACAATTTATGCGCATACTTATTTTTCTCTCTTTTTGACTTTATACCTTAACTTTGCTCATTACCGAGACTGCAGTGCTTTCTAGTGCTATGTACACATATAATATGTAGCAATTCACACTGCTACGGACTTGTTAGGTTCATAGCAATGCAAGCATCATTTTGGTGCTTCTTGGATTCCAAAAAGCACCCAAGTGGTGCTTATACGTAGCTCAACTGCTGCAGATTTGTTAGGACCCTAGTGGAGTCAATTGCTCATATCAGTAGCTTTAGAAAGTGCTATAGATCTAATATATCCACAAGGATTCAGTCTTTATGCGGCCAAGCCCCGCATATGTAGAAATACGGGTTTATTAATAAATTTATTTTTGAAATAGATTTTTGGACTTAATTTTTAAAGACATGTAATCTCTAACATGAAGATCATGGATATGAAAAAATAAGTAAAATTTTAAAACTAAAAATAAAAATTCTAGCAATAAAACATTTGGACCGTTAGTTATAGATGCTTCACACTTTTTGGGCCGCATATCATGTGGTCCAGACCGCATGAGACAATTTTCCTATCCATAATGGGTCTTTTTAGGTATATAATAATAGAAAAGTGGAGAAAATAGATATGTTTATGAATTAAAAAAATTATATATTTTATATAACTTCAAAAGAGTTAGAGATATTATGATAATTTTTCATTGCGCATCTTGCCTTTTTTTGTGGCCGAAATTGTATCCCTGTGCCATGCGAATTTATTTTAGCACACTAAAGTTGAGGGAAAACTTTAAAGAAAGTAGGGAAAAAGTTATCTAAAGTGGTCCAGAGATTTAAAATACGTTGATAATATCAAAATCCTACGAACTATAGATCAACCATAGCCCACAGGGTCATTATTCAGTATTAAAATAATGATGGATGGTAATGAAGAGATAATGGGACCCAAAGTTGAAGTCGTACCATGTTTTGATGTATCCCACTTTTTCTATCACCATCGATCATGTCAATGGATGGTGACGATTCAATGGACAATGATTTCTGCATAGCTAGTGCTTTGAAGTAAAAGACCTGGGAAGAGAAGTGTTTATGGACTTTAGATAGAGCTTATATTACCGCAAAATAGGCCTTGTAGATGTTAAAAGAAGGAAAAAGATGGTGACGGCGGTAGCCTATAGTTATACGTGGTTACAACTTCATTTTGTATTTAGTTTTAATTATTTTTCTACAAATTCAAATTACAAGATATTCTAGTTGTGTGTTTTTCTCATCAAGGCGCATCTAATGAAAATATTAAAAAAATAATTTGTAGAATATAAATTGACCAAAATATCCTTGAAATGTTTCGGGGGTATTTTGATCAATTTAAATTTTTGTAAATTATTTTTTTGATAATTTTATTGGATTCTGCTATTTTTAAAGAACGCACATTCAAAATTTCAAGTGATTTGAATTTATAAAAAAAAATTAAAATTTAAATACGAAATACAATCGTGATCATTAGATTGGCCCATATTGAATTTGGACCGTTAGTCTCATATGTAGTTGTAGGCTAGTGGCCCACCGCCAGCTTTATCCGTTAAAAAAAGCAATCAATGTTGATGATGAAAAAAGCAATCAATGTTGATGATGAAAAAAGCAATAAGCCAGACCTTGAAAATATAAAAATTAACAAAAAGTACGCTACACATACGTGTTTAGATTATTTTTTTGCAAAAATAATTCTAAGGTGGAATTTTCGAGAGAGGTAGGCTCCAAAAAGGATAAAAAAACGCAAGCAACAATAAATTGATGAAAATGCTCTAAATAAGATGAAAATGCTCTCCCCCACATCCGCGAATATGGGTTGCCTAAATTTGAAATTCTTCGCCATTCATAAAATTTTGACACAATCTTAAAAAGTGTGCTAGATCTACATTTCCCAACTAAAATGGGTGGTGTAGAACACTATGATCTTACTTCTAAAAGTTAGGTTGCCACTTTTGATTCGATGAAAAGTGTGCTTTTAAGAGTTTAAAGACTCCAAATAGATTAGAGAACACACAGATCATGAATCAAATTCACTTCTGATCAATAATGATCAAAAGCTTACTCATTAAAATGTGGATTCGAGAAGGACTTCCAAGGGACCTTAGTTACCTTAGTTACCTTGTTTCATTTACATTCAAATTTGGTTATACAAATATGAAAAAGCTTGGATCGATGGATTGGATTATAGAAGTATGAGACCATGTGCATTGTGCAAACTTTATGTTGTGGGTTAGCTTCTTGTTGGTGTTAGAAACTCAAAATACTGCAGAAAACTCTCTCTTTATTGATTAATCAAGAATATACAAGACCTCGTATAAATATACAGCAAGTAACAGTTCTGGATAGACATCAACAGTTATTGATAATTACTAATTAATCTTATCATAATCTTAGACACCTAATCTTATCAAGAGATATATATACACTAACACTCCCTTTGTACTTTTTTTTACCAAATGGTCAACATTCTTTAAAGCCATGCAATTCCCATAAAAAAAACTACAACTTCCCAAGACACTAGAAATCATCCTACATTTTCCAAATCTACTGCAACTTCTAAACACACAAGAACCAATATATTAGATCTCTTTGACTTCCCTAGACATTAATGACCTTAGAAAATACAAAACATAATAAAAACACTTTGAAATAACAAATATCATGGGAATTGACACGCTTTGGGAACCCACACTGCCTTGTCACTTACAAGCTATCCGACATGGCAATGAGGGCCTGCTAGCCTACATCAATATCCCTGGGTACCAAAGAACTCTCACACGAGTTCCCATTTATTCAAAATATTCAATAGAGTCTTGCACATTAGATGTGGGATTTGTGTGGATATGAGGGGGCAATTCAAGGGTGTAGGTGTTGTCATTGCTCCTCTTCAAAACATGGTTTCTTCTCTTTGAGCTTGTTGTAATTCCCATCGGAACTCTCTCCTTTGTTAGGAAGGCCCATAGAAGGTCTCCTTCTTTGAAAACATGTTTTTTGTTGATGAACATTTGCCATTTATTTGCATTTGACATTAGTAACTTCCAACTTTTTACGAACTTCTTCATGGAGCGTAACTATACTTTTGATCTCGTCTTGGGCGGCTTTGTTTGGTGGGGTTCAACTGGCCAGGAGAAGGTCAAGATGGTGCGTAGGGACCTATCCATAGGCCATCTTAAAAGGAGCCTTGCCGGTCGAATAGCTCAACATCGATTTGTAGGCGGCTTGGGGCAGCATTGTATCCTCTTGTTTTGGCCTCTTTCCCAACAAACTCCGAAGAAGATTGGTAAAGGTTCGATTTACCATTTCTGTTTGCCTGTCCATTTGAGGATGACAGACACTACTATAATACAAACTAATTCCCAACATCCTCTACAAGGCTATAAAAATTGCTAAGGAATTTGGTATCTAGGTTTGAGGTGATCGTCTTTGGAATGCAATAGTAGTCAACCACTTTATGAAAATAGAGATTACCAATGCAAGAAACATCCATAGTTTTCTTTCATGGAATAACATGAGCCATTTTATAGAATTGATTAATGATAGCAAAAATGATATGGATGCCTCATAGGGTCCTTGACAATCCAAGAACAAAATCTATATTTACATTTTGCCAATGAGATTTAGAAATAGGGAGAGGAGTTTTCAGACCTAAG